ACAACGAGCCGTTTTGAAAGCCCTAGATGCACTCATGTGAGGAGTTTAAGGATTGCTTGTTGGAGCGTTTCCGAGCCATTTGGGAAGGAAACCTACACGAGCAATTCTATGCTCTGATTTTGGAGAGGACGGTTGTGGATGCCGAGAGAATTTCGAGCTCTTGTTAGGTAGGTTGAGGGGTACTTTCACAACAAAATTAGAAAGGAACTTCTTGAAGGGCCTAAAGCCCGTCATACAAGCAGCCATCCGCCCTTGGACCTCGAGGATTGAGGAAAATGATGGAGCTCTCCCAGATGATGGAGGATAAGAAACAGGCTAAGACGATCAACAATAGCGGCAACACCGGAGCTTCTACAACTACAACTTGATAGCCATGACATTGAGGACCCATATAGTGTCATTTCAGAAAGAGAAACCGAAGGAGAAGAGTACAAGACCCCATCCTGGGAGTAATTTCAAGTGCCTTACAAATGCAGAAGTGTAGGATAAAGGAGCAAAATGATTGTCTTACCACTGTGACGAGAAATACACCCAACACTGTTGCAAGGAGCGTGTCGTGCCCTTCAGATTTTTTTTGTTCAAGAGGATACACAGAGTGAGGAATCATAAGAGGAGGCGGTGGATAAGGAGCATCTGCATTTGGATGTGGCGAAAGTGTCCCTCAATTTGGTGTTGATATTTACCCCAAATCATTCCATGAAGGTAATGGGGTGGATTAGGGAATAACGGATTGTGGTTTTGGTAGATAGCAGGGCCACACATAACTTCATCTCAATTCATATCGTAGAGAAGTTAGGGTTGGAGCTGGTGCTAGTGGGAGTTTCAACGTTATGATGGGAACAAGGAAGGTGGAGAAAAGTTGAGGAATTTACAGTGGTTGGTTTTTACACTACATACCCTATAGGTGGTGGACAACTTCATTTAGAATTAGGCAGCATAGATGTGGTTTTGGGTTGGAGTGGCTGCGAACATTAGGGGAGATGAAGGTGGATTGAAAGTCCTTGAAGATGGAGTTCCAAGTGGAGGGTAGGAAGATGCTAGTTTATGCAAAACCATGGTGTCACTATAAACCATGGCCAACTCAATTCGGGGGGCAGGACTGAGTTACTTGGCGGAGTTGCAGAACATTGAAGAGATTCAAGATTTAGAGTGGCAGAATTTCCAGAGGGGGACCTATAGTTCCTGCAACAGTTTGTGGATGTCTTCAAACAACCAAACAGATTACCTCCTCCAAGGGAGCATGAGCACGTTATTACATTGAAGGAGGGGGTTTCTCCCATCAATGTCAGATTATATAGAGAAGTTGATCTGAGAGATACTCGAGGCTGAGATTACCAGACCTAAGAAAAAAGATGGCAATTGGAGATTCTGTGTGAACTGTCGGGCTTTGAACAAAGAAACGGTGTTGGTCAAGTTTCATATTCCTGTGATTTATAAGCATTATGGGACAGTCATTTTCTCAAAAAATTGATCTTAAGTTAGAGTACCACCAAGTCAAGATGAATTCAACTGATATGCCCAAAACAACAATCAGGACACATGAAGGACATTATGATTTTTTAGTGATGTCATTTGATCTTATCAACACCTTGACGACATTTCAATCCCTCATGAATAGGGTTTTTCAACCTTATGTCCAGAAATTTGTTTTGATTTTCTTTGATGACATTCTGGTCTACAGTCTTACAAAAACAGAGCATTTGAGGCACCTGAGGACTGTTCTGGAGACGTTGAGGGAGTACCAGTTGTATGTCAACTTGAATAAATATTTTTTTTTGCACAATTATAGGTGTACCTAAGACATTGGTGACCGAAACAAGTGTAGCAGTAGATTAGTCTAAGATCGAGGCTATGGTTGATTGGCTCTTACCAAGGAGTTTGAAGGAGTTGAGAGGATTCTTAGGTCTCACTGGCTACTACCAAAAGTTCGTGAGAGGATATGACACGATAGCATGACTTGCAGTTGAAAAAAAATAATTTCAAATGGGGGAAGCAATGACACAAACATTTGAACATCTGAAGAGGGCTATGACTAGTGTCTCGACATTAGCACTTCTAGATTTCAATAAAACATTTGTGGTGGAAACAAATGCGTTAGGGTACGGATTGTGAGCAGTACTCTTGCATGATCAACAGTTGATTGCCTATTTTAACCAGGTTCTTATAACCAGAGTGAGACTAAAGTCAGTGTATGTACGGGAATTGATGTCGATTGTCTTGGCCATTTAGAAGTGGTGGCCCTATCTTTTGGGATGACATTTTCTGGTCAGGACAGATCAAAGGAGTTTAAAGTATCTTTTCATGCAGGATTAATAGACAATTGTCTACTTTAGTCGGGTTCTTACAGCTAAAGAGAGGACAAAGTCAGTATATGAGCAAGAATTGATGACAATTTTCTTGGCCATTCAGAAGTAGAGGCCCTACTTGTTAGGACGACATTTCTTGGTTATGATAGATCAAGAGAGTTTAAAGTATCTTCTAGAGAAGCGAATAGTGACTGAGGAGCATCAAAGATGGCTATCCAAGCTACTGGGATATGATTTCGAGATTCAATATCGGTCAGGATTGGAGAATAAGGTTGCTGACACACTGTTGAGAAAGATTGAGGAACTCTAATTGACGATCTATCGATACCTTTGGTCCTAGATTAAGAAGCCCTTAGGCATAAGAGTGAATGGGATGAGAAGTTGAGGAAGATAAGAGCCGGGTTACTACAGGATCTAAATAGTCATCCAGGACATGCATTGAAGGGGCAACAACTGCTCCACTAGGGGTAATTCGTGTTGCCCAGGACATCGAAGTATATTCCCAGATTATTAAATGAGTTTCATGGCAGTGTGATTGGGGGATATTCAGAGGTGCAGAAGACCTACAGTAGCCTGACGACATAACATTATTGGATAGGGATGTGCAGAGGCGTCGAGGATATGGTAGAAAAATGAGATGAATGCCAGCGAAGTACTTGACTACGACACCAGGAGGGCTACTAAAACAATTAACATTACCGGGGAAGATTTGGAAGTGATGATTGATTTCATCGAGGCATTACTACGATCAAAAGGGTTCACAATGATTATGGTGGTCGTGAGTCGCTTGACTAAGTATGCACATTTCATTACCTTACGAAATCTTTACACTGTGGTCTCGGTTGCAGCAGTATTTATCCGGGATGTGGTTCGTTTGCACAGACTACTAGATTCATTTGTTTTGGATAGGGACAAGTTGTTCCTCAACCACTTCTGGAAAGAGCTATTCAGGTTACAAGGGACAGTTCTTAAGAGGAGCGCCACATATCATCTCTAGACCGATGGACAAACGGAGGTGATCAACATGAGTGTGGAGATATATTTGTGTTGTTTTGTATCCAATACGCTGAAATTTTCGGCCAAATGAATTGCGTGGGATGAATATTGGTATAATACTTTATATCACACCATAACACAGACTACTCTTTTCAAGATATTGTATGGGCAAGATTCACCTCATTTAATATATTATGGGCTTAGCGCTATGCCAGTATCCATCGTCGATCAATACTTTGGAGGAGAGAGATAAGATACTAGTAGAGCTCAAGGGGCATCTTTTGAGGGCTCAATAAGTCATGAAGAGGAAAGCGGATGAACACAAGAGAGATGTGCAATTTGAACTAGGGGACATGGTCTACTTGAAGCTGAGACTCTACAGGTAGAAGATATTGTCCAGGAGGAGCGAAATACTTTGGGCTTTTTGAGATGATGACACGCATCGGGGCAGTGGCTTACCGTTTGAGGTTACCACTATCGTCCACACTTAATCTGGTCTTCCATGTATCACAACTGAGACGTGCGATTGGAGATCATACACCCTCATCTACACTACTGCTGACGTTGACGGAAGACTTGGAGGTGATTCTGGAGCCATTAGAGATCAAAGGAGTGCGCCGAGGAGTAGGGAGAGCGAAGGAGGTATTAGTTAAGTGAAAGAACTGTCAGACTATGAAACAACATGAGAGTCTTACGAAGTGATCCAGACACAGTTTCCATCCTTCCACCTTGTGGATAAGATACTTTTTTGGGAGGGATTAGTGTTATGCCCATACAGTGGTCGGTATGGAATGGACCGACCGATTGCTACCCAGCCAACCACAGGCGGGCCGGCCTTTGTCGCGTGAAGAAGTGAAGGAATCCAGATGGGTAGTAGAAGAAGGAAAGAAGGGGGGGGGGGGGGTCCACTAGGGCCATAATCACATATTCAAGGAGGAGAAATTAGAGGAGGTTTGGATGGAAAATGGGAAAGAAATGTTTTCAAATGCTATGGAAGGATTCTATTAGGGGAAGTTAGGGTTTGTTTTCTTTCACGCATATATTTAGTGGCTGCTGCGTTTTTTTCCTTTTGATGGTGTTTTTAGCGATGTCTAAAGTTGTGGGATAGTCGTTCTACCTCTCGGAAAGTGGATCACCGTTGTATCTTACTTATTTGCATTTGTTTTTTGTAAAAGCAACCCTTATTTTACTTGTTTCCACCTATCTATCGACATTTCACTGTTTTTGTTTGATAATTTTGAGTCCGGAGCGTATCAAAATCTCATTCAACGAATCCCATGTAGGATTTATGTTTTGTGAGATTATTATTTTTCCTTATGATCTTTCATATTCCAAATTGCTATTTACTCAACATCTCACATGCTTCTCAACATGGGTTTTTTTTTTTTTTGTATATATATTCTTTTGGCAAATTTACATACATACTACACAAGTCTTATGTATATATATATGTAACGCTCGAAGTTTGATGTTTACACCTATAACATTTCGTGTCATAAACTTATGTGTGAAAATGTGTATTTCACTTTTAAAAAGTTTGTGATTGTGATATTTTTTAATGTAATGCGAAAGATTTGAGTGGTATGCATGTGAAAAATGAAAGTTTAGGTGTTAGATATGTAAATACATTGGAATTGTGTGGTATGTATGTAAATCAACTCTTTAATTTAACATCTGTCTTTATTTTGTGGCTGGCAGATGCATTTCCTAAATCGATCCCTGTTCCTTTGATCTTGGAATATGTCTACATTGAATCCTTTGAGGAGGGTGGTTTCTCACGTTATTTTGGATTTGGACGGCACACTTCTAAACACAGGTGTTGCCCTTTTGATTCTTGAGTTCTTGTTGCTTGCATGGTGCTTTCTAATGTCCTGATCTTTTCCTTTTTTTATATGATTTTCTTACTTCTGTCTATCGTTTGTTACAGATGGCATTGTGATCGAGGTGTTAAAAGTAGTATTAGCACAATATGGAAAGAAATGGGATGGCAAAAAGTCTCATAGAATAGTAGGGAAGACACCTTTTGAAGCAGCAAGTGCTGTTGTAGAGGATTACGAGCTTCCATGCACGATTGCGGAGTTTATGTCTGCAACAACGCCCATGTTTTCTAATCAGTTAACTCTCTTGAAACCTTAAGTTCTATTTTTTTTTTCTATTTTGTTCTATTGATTGTATGACTTGGATGTGGCTTTTTAACACGCATTACTCATCTTTAAAAAAATTATTGTCGTTCTCAGGTTCCTTTTTTTGTACTGTTTAATTCCGTGTTTTTTATTTTTCACTTTCATATTCCTACCTAGGAAATTTGTGCTTAGAATATTAGTTTATTTTATTTTTTGCACACATTTATTAATTGCATATATTTAAATTACCAGCACAATAAATTGAGTTAGTATTGAACTTATAATTTAAATTTTCTAAATTTATGTTCATGTTTGTTGTGTTTTTTTCTGTCTTTTTTATTTTTTATTTTTTTTTGTTTTAACATAAATTAGAACCATGTTTGGATGCATATTTGTTTCCCGTTTTCATAATACATATTTTAGAAACAAATGAAAATGCTTCAATCGGTGCTTAATAAATTTCCTTGGAAATCATGTGTTTGTTAAAAAACCATTACAGGTAGTCAGGCATACAAACTTATTTTCTAAGTATCTTTCTGGGTAACAAAAACAACAAAAGGGCAATAGAAACATAGCTAAACATGCTCATGCCCCCATGTTTTGGTCATTATTAAATAAAAAAATATTTAATATTAGTTATCAGCTTATAGAATTTATTTATTGGAAGAAGGTTAAAATGAAATAAAGAGAATAATTTAAAAAGAAGTACATGAACAACTATGATGCATGTCGAATGGTTCAGGGCAAAATGAAAAAAAAAAAAAAATTGAAATTATTTTGCATTTTGTTCTTAAAAATAAAAATAAGCATCATCTTAAGGAACATTTTTTAGAAAGAAAAAATAATAAAATTATTAAATATTTATTAAATCATTAATGCGATTGGTTGGGATTGATTTTTCAAATTCAAGGTTGCGATTCTCTTTGACTAAGTATCAGTTTTTTATTGGTAATTTCGATGTATTTAGATAGATTGAGGTAACTTTTGTTGATACTTTCTTGAAGCATTTCTTCAATGGTCATTTTTTATCTAAAACATACTACCCTTGGTGTATGTGTAGGTTCTTTTAAAGAATGAAAAAAAAGGTATAACTTTTTGCTAGGTGCACAACATTTATACTTCAAGAAATATTTAAAGTTATCCTCCCAGTTCCAGATGTGTGATCAGTGTAATAGTGCTAATTTGCATTCTTGCTAGTATTTCAGTGAAAGTTTGTAGATTGCCAAATCTATGTAGGCACAAGTATGAAAATGTTATAGAACTGTTGTTTCTTTAGTCTTTTTCTATCATGTCTCAAATGAATACTATTTTACATCACAGGTGGTGCAATATTAAAGCTCTTCCGGGTGCAAATCGATTAGTCAGGCATCTAAGATTGAAAGGCGTGCCATTTGGGTTGGCTTCAAACTCTCCAAGAGCAAACATAGATGCTAAACTTTCTTATCACCATGGTATAGTAATTTATGACAACATCTTTTTTAAACCTTTTGATGATATGAAAAAATTATGAAAGCCTTGCTGCAATTTTATCCTATTTTCGGATTTAACTTTTGTTTTATTTTTTCAACATGTAGGATGGACTGAGTCATTTTGGGCCATTGTTGGTGGCAATGAAGTTGAAAATGGAAAACCATCACCTGATGTGTAGGAAACTCAACAAAATCTTTCTGATCTTTTCAATATTTTAAATTGCTATTATTCTTACCAAATTATTTGCCATTTAGTTTCCTTGAAGCAGCAAGAAGGTTGAAAGTTGATCCTTCGAATTGCCTGGTTATTGAGGATTCATTGTGAGTATTTTCTATTCCTGTTACTTTCTTTCATAAACTTTCCATCATTTACTGACCTAATGTGTCTGCTATTTTAATTTGACAATGCATTTGATTACATAAGCATTTTGTAAATGCTGAAAGCAGGAATTTCAGTTTGGTTGGAAGCTCTGAGAGTTTGGGAAACTATTCTTTTCGGAAAGCTTTTATGCCTTGAATTTTATTTGACCATTTTCAACACTTATTTTTTGAGTTAACATGATTCATTTCTTGCAATCAATGTTGTTTTTAAATGATAGTATCTATCATTGTCTGCTACAAAGTGTGCGGTGACGATCAACTGAAAATCTAATTAGAAGTCTCAAAGACTTAGCATCATCGGTAGTAGAAATTTCATGTTCTTATAAGGCAAGATGTTTATTGTTTTTGTCTATTATGTTTTGAAAGATTTCCAGGCTCATGGATTAAAAACTAGCATCACGTTCTTAGCTAATGCATAAACTTGCTTCGTATTTCCCTGTTCTATTATTACAACTAGACATTGCTTTAGCTGTGTTTATAAGGTTAATAATTTCCAATTTAGATTTATTTGAGTATATTTATTCCATCTAAAAAATGTTTTTCCTTGTGTTAGACCTGGTGTTATGGCTGGGAAAGCCGCTGGAATGGTGGTGGTTGCTGTACCATCACTTCCTAAACAAGCTGGTCTTTTCAACTCTGCCGACGAGGTGATCAATTCTCTGCTTGATTTCCATCCTGAAAAATGGGGTTTGCCTCCATTTGATGATTGTATGCTTCTTCAATCCTGTCATCCATTTCACCTATATCAGCATTATATATTTGACTATCTGTTAATGGTGATTCATTGTTGTTTAATACCAGGGATTGAAGATACTCTGCCAATCGAACCTTGGTACATTGGAGGACCTGTTGTGAAGGGTTTTGGTCGTGGTTCAAAGGTACTTGGCATACCTACTGGTATGTCAAAACCTAATAACCATGTTTTTTAATTTGAAGACATTTATGGGTTTTAAACTATTTTATGTTGAGCTTCAACTTCATCAGCATTAATCATTACATCTACTATTCAATAATTACTTATTTAGAACATATGACACTTAATTAGGGTGCAGGTGATTTTGAGCAGCCCGAAAAAGATTGAGCTGAGTTAGTTAATAAGCTGTGTGTGGGCTACGGCTCATCGTGTTGTTCAACCAAGTTGGCTTGTTTATCTGGAAATTCATAAATCTAAAGTGCAATGGGATATATATATATATAT